GGGAGCAACATCAAATAACATGTTTGAACGTTTGAAACCACGAAAAGCTTGCAAACGCGCGGCTAATGCGAGCCGACATGCGCCGAACCGCGATTTCGGCCAAACATGGTCACAGAAAAGAGGTCACAGGTCAAAGGTCATTGGGGTCAGGGTCATGAAATTTTCAGGGTAGGTGTAAAATTGATCAATGCGAGGGTACTGAAAGTTTCGTCGCGATCGGCCGCTTTTTACGCGAGTTATTCGCGAAAAACCTTAGGGGGGGTTGCATCAACCCCCCCCCTGTGCCGGCGAGGGTTAAAAAGGCCATGGAACGATTTCTATATAAAATACTGTTTTGGAATCAGCTCACCGTCAGCTTTCGTGCGGTATATTTCGTTTCTTTGGTGGATGAAATGACTTTCCGACGAGCCGTGCTGGTTCAACCGCCAACGCATTCCACCTATAAAAATTAAACCAGCATAACGCCTTTTGGGGCAACTAACGGAGCGAGCGAGAGGGTGGGCCTTGCACGTGCGAAATCGCGAGGGGTATCTCCAACTGACTTGTGCACAGCACCCTACTAACCGGTCTCTAGAGATGTGCCAAATTTGAGCACAATCGGCCCAGCCGTTCTCGAGATCTGGTAGCGGCACCCTGCACGTGCGGACGTGCATAATGGGCCCTAACTGACTTTTGCACAGCACCCTGCTAACCGGTCCTTAACCGCGTACCAAATTTGAGCGCAATCGGTCCAGCCGTTCTCGAGATCTGGAATTGACCCCTGCACGTGCGCACGTGCAGCAGCACGCCAACTGTGGCACATACAAATGCATTGCCTAGTGGGTGCCTACCTACATGCCAAGTTTCAGCGCAATCGGCCCAGTAGTTACCGAGATATTGCAATTGTTACAAAACTGACACCTCTTCGTTTTGCACGTGCCACGTGCATAAGGGGTCACCCACATGCATCGGAAATAGTCCAATACTTGGTAGAAGGAATGAACTACCCTACAAAAATTACCGCATGTAAATCGGTCAAGTGGTTGCTGAGATATAAGCGTCGCAAAATCGTGACCACCCGGCCGGCCGGCCGGCCGCTCATACTCAGAAATTTCCGTTAATCTAAGGAAAGACTCCGCTCGCTTCGCTTTTGGGCCGATTTAATTAATTTAGAGATATAAGCATCGCAAAAGCGTGACCACGGCCGGCCGGCCGCTCATACTCAGAAATGTCCGTTATTCTACGTAAGACTTCGCTCGCTTCGCTCGCTCCGTGATGAGTGGTAAGGCGGCCAGCGCAGCGCGGCGCGTCCCTGACCCAGCCCAACGCGTCTGTGCCGAGCGTGAGGCCAGAGGGATATACTGTACCGCCGAACCTGGGTGTGAGGCGGCGCAGTCTACCGCTCCAGTCAAACGCTGGGCCGTCGGGGGGCGAACATCACTTAGTAGGTGAGTGTACAGGTTGATGGTCCCCTACTCTTTATCCACCGGGTTCCTATGGCTCAGCATTGGCAGCAGCCGCCTGGTACCGGTAGGCTGTGCCGCATGACCCGAGAGTGAAGCGGCACAGTCTACCCACGCCGTTTGACATCGGCTCGGGTCGCCGGGTGGAGCGCTTTGTAGACCAGCTGTTGCGTCAGAGCAGCACGGGGGGGAGGGGCTCGTCTCGGTGGTTGGCGTGGGCTGGCGAGTAGTGTGGGGCGTGTTGGTAGACCATGGGGGCTGGGCGGGTGTGTGTGGTCACTTGCTGCATTGCACATTTCGCGTTGCGTAACAATTGCATTCCTGTTTTTGCTAGGCACAATGCACTGAAGACCCAGCGAATATAATTTACTTTACTTGTGCATTGTGCAAAGCGTGATTTGGCACGGTATCGAGGCAACCATAGGTCTTGTGCCTATGCATGATATTTAGGCAATACGTTTATGAAAACGGTAGATTGATGCTGGATGTCATTCGTTTTGCTAAATGTCGGCACGTAATAAATAATATAACTCGTAATAAATGTCGGCACGTAATAATAATAATAAAAAATAAATAACACGTATTATTACGGCACGTAATAATAATAAAATAATAATAAATGTCGGCACGTAATAAATAATATAATTTGGCCAATTATATTATAAAAATAATATAATTGGCCAAAGGCTCCATGGGTTCACAGAGGTGCTTCTCCGTACCAAAGCGATAAACCTCCGTAGCAGAACAGCCAGGTTGAAGACTCACTCGTTGCCATGGAAACGAAGCTTATTTGTTCAAGTAATTTAATATTAATATAACTTCTATCGGTATTTACGTAAATGAAAAATGATTTCATAATACCAAAATGTATATAAATAAAAACAATATCCAACTAATTGTTTTCTTTAGTTACTATTTGTTTGCGCCCACAAATAATTCGTCGCCAAACAGCCAATCAAAACAAATCCTAAAAACGCGAGCCGTCAAATTTACCTAGGTAGGTAGGTAGGATGGTGCAAGAGAAGTTACCGCCGTAGGTAGTTTTACTAGGTAGGTATTTTGCCGATTCTACCTAGCTAGGTATTTTGGTGCAAGAGGCCTCAGGTCCACGACTCCACAGCTTACAACAGGAGCTAGCTAACATAACAATAGCCGCGTTTACATAGGGCTAGTTGCCAGATAGTGGAATTCCACTAACGAGACATTTTTTCCACTAACGAGACATTTCAGGCACCTTCAGATAATTCTGACGACCTATCCGGCCAGAAGGACCAAACCGATTGACAAAAATAAATACATCGTGGCGGATGAATACTACCGAGGTATTTCAGGCCTAGACATAGTATAGATGTCGCAACTCGCGGCCTTCCGAGCAGTAAGGGCGAGGTATAGATGACGCTACTGCAGCAAGTCACTGGAGCGTGCGAGTCGTGGAATGGAACGGAAGATACGGAACGGGGGCTTCAACGGAAGCTTATTCGTTTAATTTTCATTTAAGAATTGATTTCGTGCGCTAGGGAAAGAACATTGTCTTCTTTTTTCATACGTCTGCACCGTCCCAGTCCCCTCCATCCTTTGGATCAGCCAGTGTGCAGCAAGAGGGTTCATCGGAGAAAAACAACAAATAGCAATCCTCCCTGAGCCTGTCAGGTCAGAAATAACCTGAGCATAGGCGACGGAACGGGGAGGGCACCGGGGCACCGTGCCCCCCTTTGATTTTGGCCTGCATGGAAAGAATGGGACCAAAAGTCGGCGGTGCCCCCCCCCCCCCTCCGCGGCTACTGAAGCTGAGGACCGTTCGTTTTGCCCTACTGCCCACGCTTCTTAAAATTTCAGTAGTAGTCAGTTATCTGGCCAATGTTTCCGTATAGGGGCTGGCAAACACAACTGAGCCTCGTGAGTGGGATGAGTACTGGACACAGAAGTGGACAATCTGTTGGCAAGAAGCCCGCAAGGATAATATCTCGAAACTCAGGACTACGTATACAAACACTTTAAATGCATCTAAATCTATACTATAATCGAAAGCCGCATTGTTGTGAACTACCGGCACGTGCGTCCAATCACCATCAAGAACGGAAGTCCGACCTACAGCAAGCACGACAGTCCGATCAAAGATGTATTGAAAAATAACTAGCAACTTTAAACATCGCCTTCCTCAGCCACGCTCTACACCGCATCACATAAGAAAACCGCCAATATCGATTACAAAACACACATAAAGGAATTCCGTAGGTATAGATCAGAGGAATACTTCACCTCCTTTATCTGGCGCGTCAATAGGTATAAAGTAATCTTTGGCGTCTACGCACTAGCAACATCTATAATGCAAACAGCAGTTCAGAAACCATCCACTAAAATTGTAACAAGGCAAGGGTTGGTCAAAATAAATTATAGTCACCGTGATAAATAGCAAACGAAATACAGAACAAGCACAACAAAGCATTCCACACTCGTTTAGACTGTACAACATGCCTACATAAGACATTGCAGCAGTGTACAAGGAAAACATTCTTTAAAGATGCTAACGTGGGGAGTTTTAAAAGTTTGGTGAACACAGTTACGAGTCACTGCACAAGAAATGTAGCGCGGTCGCCAGCCGGCCCAGGCGAAAGAGTCGACGGAGACGGCGTCAAACAAACCCGAGAGGGGGTAGTTTCATCCGCATCAGCGGAGGCGCTCTCTCTACCAAGGTCGTCAGTTACCAGCCGCAGCACCCTGCTGGCGATTTGATAGCTGCTCTCATTCTCAGCTGGCTGAGCGCCATGTGCCGGGTCATCCGGCTCCATGATTTCCCCTTTCATTAGCAGCTGCTGTTGTAGTTATTGTTGTTGCGTTCCTTTCAGCCGCTGCCGCAGCATAGCCGTACGGTTCTGGATGGTTCTCACGGCGGCAGCCAGGGTCACCAAATCCGTCTCCCCGTAGCCACACCAGATTCGGGAAAATGTACCGAGATGTACCGAGCCAATGTTGCAGCACTCGCGGCATTCATCGGTAGGACTCCGCCCAACCCAATGTCGGCACTGGCAGGAGCCCGACCAGTGGTCCAAACGAAACTGATGAAAATCGACAGCTGATGAGCGGTCCTCCACTGACGCCGGACGGGTGGCGACGGCGCGGCCGGTCCTGGAGCTGGAACAGCAGAATGGACCGGCCGGGACACGCGGCTCATCATTCCATTCGTCCTGCTACTCCCCGTAGACCCCAGCCCCTTCACTGCAGGTTCTCGCGTCTGCCGACCCGTCCGTCCAAACCCACGCGGCTCGATAGGGGAGGGGAGGGCAGATATCGTTATGTCGCTTGAAGCAGTTCAGCTGCCGAGGCTCTTTGTCGCAACGCCGCCAGCGCCGGGCATCGCAGCAGCACATACCGTGGAGTGCCAGCCTCTTCGCGGCAGACGCGGCATCGGGCAGCAGGGCACTCCACGTCCGGCCATTGTGCGCATCCGGCCTCGGGAGGCGGCCGATGCAGAGCAGGTACTGGCGGATGTAGATAACGACTGCACGGTCGGCCTCCAGGACGGAGCCGGGACAGCGGTCGACCCATATCGACCGGTACCATCCGTCCTGCCAGCTCCGCCGCCAGGCGCGCGCAGCGTCGCGCGCGCCTGCCTTGCAGATAGTGCTGCCCAAGTCGATCGGCGGACGGCGCTACCGTTGGGATAGGGCGCCAGCCTCGCGCGCGAGGGCGTCCATCCGCTCGTTGCCCGGAAGCCCGCAGTGTGCAGGAACCCACTGCATTATCACTGGCTGGCCCCCTCGGTGAGCGCTGCCAGCAGCCCCCATATGTCTGCGGCCAGAGGGGCTCTCTGGGCCGCCGCGCCGCTCCGCAGGAGGGCCAGCGCCGCCATCGAGTCGGTACAGACGATAATTATCGGAAGAGAGGTGTCGCGACCAGTCTTGGTCAACAGCTCCTCCAACACCGCTCTTAGGGCGAATAGCTCGCCGCGCGTGCTAGAGCAGAGGGCGCCTGCCGCGACACGCACCTCCCGGATGTCGCGGTTCAGGGGGGGGGGTGGCCCCTCCTCCTCCATCTAGCACACCATCGGTGGCAGAGCTGTCTGACCAGATCAAGCTGTTGTTGTTGTTGTTGTTTTTCCCCACGCAGCGGTCGCTACGTAGCCTCTCGGCTCTGGAGGTACCTGGCGGCGGCCCCCAGGGCCGCCACCACGCCGCTGCCTCGGACCTCCTCCTCGCTCGGGTGTATGTTGCCTAGATGTCGTAGGCGTAGTCGCATCAGTGCCGGGCAGCGTAGCAGGATGTGTGCCGGCGTGTCTGCCTCCTCTTCGCCACAGCAGCGGCAGCCGGCCGCCCGGCACGTCAGCGAGTTGCACTGCGCGCAGTCCCGGCCGGGGTTCCTGCCGATCCGATGCAGGTACTGCGCAGATCCCGACCAGTGACCAGCGCGCAGTTGGTGCACATCAACCGCCACCTCTCGTGGAGTAGTGCTGGGCAGCGGTGCGGGTAGGTGGCCGTCCATTAGCCGCCTATACCAGCCGTCCGGCCAGTTGCTGATCGCCTCCTTTCTGGCCATCCGGGACGCCGCACGGTACACTGTGCGGACGTCAACCGGGACTCCCTGCTGTGGGAGGGCGGCGGCTTCCTTGGCGATAGCGTCCACCCGCTCATTTCCCTCCAGCTCACAGTGGGACGGCACCCATTGGAGGTGGACCCTACGGTCCCCGCCAGCCACCAGTGCCGCCATGTGCTCCCAGATGGCGGCACCTAGAGGGGACGTCTGGGCCGCTGGTCCTCCTCTCAGCGTCGCAAGTGACGCCTGTGAGTCGGAGCATATGATGATATCCTGTTCGAGGGGTGGGTGCTCCAGGAGATGTCGCACTGCCGTCTTCAGCGCCACCATCTCAGCCCGGTAGCTAGAGCATATTTTTCCCGCCGCCTCTCGCAGAGCTTCCGTCGTTCCGTCTGGGTGTTCGATTAGGACCCCGGCACCGCCATTCGTCACTCCGCCGGTCGCCGACCCGTCGGTCCAGGCCCACGTCGCACACTGGGGGAGCGCTCCCAGGCACGCCTCCGCAGCGCTTCGCCTCATCGACGCGGTCGCTCCGATCGGGAGCGGGCCGATGTCCAGGCGGATCGTCACGTTTTCCGTCGCTGTCCACGGGGGCGGCCTCGTGGCTAGGCGAGCCTCGACGGGTAGCTCCACGCCGGCGCGGTCCCACACCGCTCTTCCTCGGTCTCTCCATCCGGTCACGGACTTGAGGCGCGGCACGGGGGCGGCCTCCGCCACGGCGTGCAGCGGGTCCTCCGGCGGGAGAGAGTGCGCTTTCGCCAGCAGGCGTGCTGCCAGCGCATCCCTCCTCGCCGCCATCGGCACGACGCCCGCTTCTGCTCTCACGGCGTGCCTCGGGGTGGAGATCGGACAGCCAGTAATGGTGCGTGCCGCCGCCAGCATCTCCACTTCCAAGACGCCGAGATGCGTTGTCGCAGCCGCAGGCAGCCACGCCGCCGCCGCGTGTTCTATGGCGCCGCGGATGTATCCGTTTGCCACCGTCCGGAGGAGTCTCTCGCCGAGCCCCCACGACCTTCCGGTGAGCTGTCTGAGTTGGTTGATTCGTGGTCTTGTCTTTCTTCGTAGACGACGGCAGTGCGGCCCGAAGTGTAGGAGTCTGTCCAGTGTGACGCCCAGGAGGTGGAGGGTCTCCTGCGCCTCGACTGTGTTTCCAGCTACCTTGATGCGGCAGTCCTTGGCGTCCTTGGCTTGATGCGACCAGATCAAGCTCGCCTCAGGCGGGAGCTCCGCCAGACGACTTTCCGCCGCCTTGGCTCGCCAGCCGTCGCGCCCAAACTCGCTTCAGGCCGTGAGTCTATAGCCGGCGCGGTGGCGTGGCTTCGCCATACTAGCCTTGGGCGGGTTGTCCTCAGAGAACGCGTTCGCATTGGCGAGGAGGCGAGCAGCGCCACGAGTCCTGAAATGACCAAACAATATCAATAGACAATCAAAATTGTGAAAATTGGCATTAACTGCGCAACTGATGTTTGCTTCTTTGTTTATTAGGGTTTACGGGCGCTACGGTGGTCATTTTGCACCCATGACGCTGTTCTGGTGAACCTGCGCAACTGAGCAGTTATTATGCCATAACTTATATTTGGCGTAGTGGCAGGGTTCCACCTAAAATTTCGGCGCACGTCAGGTGTAAAGTTACATGCGACAAATTCAGCGCATGTCAGTTGGGGAGACTAGCCCCGCGTTCGATGTCTCCCGGACGGCAAAGATTCTACGCCGTCCGGCCAATCACGTTTTATAACCACAGCCGAGCCCCCGCTGACCTTGGACGGGATTGGCTGGACGACGTAGAATCTTCGTCATCCGAGAGACATCAAACGCGGGGTAAGGTTGCTGGAGTGCTGGAATAATAAAAAACGAGGGCACCAAAAATTGATCCTAAAGGACCATACTTGGACATTAATGCAGACCCTCTCTGTATCACCAATTGTCAGAAAACAGCCATGTGTTTGAAAGAGCGTTAGAGAGTCATGAAGCCAGGATAAAACACAGTGCTATTTTCCCAAAGCAGCTTTTACATGATAAAGTTAGATAACTCTCTCTCCGTTAGCCATTCGCAAGGCCAAAAAGGCCTATTGGTTTTGAAAGGCATTGGATTACAAGCTGAGCATTTTTTACTTTATCATAAAATGTTAAACCTGCGTGTAGATGAAGTCTGAACGGTGGTTTGTAGGCTGATAGGTTGGAGGTTGGAGGTTAGTAGGGAAGGGAAGGTCAGAATAATTTCTGCTTTTTATTTTCATTGGACTTTAGCCTTCATCAACACACGCATCAAAAATATTTACTTGAGCATCTTCAAGCCTCAATATACAAGATGTGCCACAACAAATTAAAAATTGATGATATACCAATATATGGTCATGATTTTTACCACCAGAATTGAATTAAATGCCTATTGATGCCTTACCTATTATTTTGATACCTGAAATCTGATTAACCAAGCATTTTTTCTTGTGAATTGGCAGTCTAAAATTTGGCTGGCTTGAGCACGACGCTATTGCTCTAGCAGAATCTCAAACAGATGTCTACCAAGTGCCACTCCCAAGAGTTTTTCAAGATTCTAAAACCACAAACTTTGTTGCTGCCTGATCATGTGATGGTTAATCAAATGATAGCACTCCATCTGAGGCCAGTTTTACAAACAGAAAATAGCCACCTGACGGATTATTTTGCCTCAAGGCTAATTCACATATGGAGCGTAAATGGTGAAGCCCAGGTTTAAAAGGAACAGGTTTCAAGACAATCGGCATGACAAACCAACACCTTACCTGCAGTTTAAGTTTGTCGATTTCTTTATCAAAATCTAGTCTTCGTTTAATCCACAAATCAAGATAAAATTACTGGATAGGTACAACTTCTTCTTATTCTTCTTCTGCACCTCACCCGCCGCCCCCTACACTTCTCCCTTATTCTGATAAATATATTTACATAATTTTCACAAAAATGCCACTCAACGGGGTAGATCTAAAAAAGTGCAGGGCTTAAATTTTGAGCTATAGAGTTCTCACCCCACGTTCGATGTATCTCGGACGGCGAAGATTCTACGTCGTCCGGCCAATCCCATTCAAGGTCAGCGGGGGCTCGGCTGCGGTTATGGAACGTGATTGGCCGGACGGCGTAGAATCTTCGCCGTCCGAGAGACATCGAACGCGGGGTCAGTGATTTTGAGACACCCATTATGTCTTCGGCACGCCGTATTTGTCTCTCAATGCCTGCGAATTCGGCGATATGATTGGTCGAAGGCCGACGCTATGGGTCCAAGAAAAGGCCAAGATTCCTGCCAAGATTCTTACAGGTAGCCAAGGCCGATGACTGACGTGACTGACGGCATGTTACTGCCCTTGGCATATTGCCAATGCACTGCTCGGTCATATCCGCAGTAATGTCAACAGTCATATCGGAAGTAATATGGTAACTATACGCAAAAACCATTTGGCGTATAGCTACCATACTTTTCCGATAACGAGACATTCTAGATCAATCTCTCTGCTGTTGGCGACATCTGCTGAGAAATCCCAAGACCGAACGCAAGCACATAAAAGTAATGCACTCTAAGGATGCGTTCGAAATCTGGGAAGTGACGGATTTCATTTCTCAATGCGTGTCCCACTCCAGCCTTCCCCATGCTGTTCGTACCGCCATCTATTGCCATGTTTCGCATTCGCATTTCATGAATTCACCACCCCGCCAAGTAGGTTGGTATCAAGTTGGTATAGGTGTCGCATCGCTCTGGTCGATCAGGCTGAGCCAGCTGTCTGGAGAGTGGAGCCGATCCGAAAAAAACGCAGAAATTCAAAAGACCGACTCCAAAGCAATGGCAGCATGCATATCAATAGAGCGTAATTCTGTCATGATTGCGTCAGAAGCAAACATAATGGCAAGAGTTTCTTGTGTGTCGGTAGGCGCGTGTGGAGCCGCTGGACCGACCGGGGACGTACCCAAGGGGGGACGGACGGGGTGCGCCTCCCCCCTAGGGGTTTTCAGGGCCCATGCTGGCAGAAGGCCCACGTTGGCCAAAATCACGTCGGAGACGAACGAAATTCATGGGAATCCCCAAAAAAATCACGTCAGGACAATCAAGGCTCTCCGACTCGCCTGCCACCTAGGGTCATTCAATTTACTACATGGGGCCTCCTGTGAATAGCCGCTAGTGTCTGTGTCTGACCACCTCTGACTCCTCGGGTAGAGGGCCCTCTGTAGGTAGGAGGCTCTCTCTACGGGATTCCTCCGCTCCCCCCCCCCCCGGCCAAATTTTAGGTTATACGTGCCTGCGCTAAGCCGGCGTCGGAGAGAGGAGTTGACGACCGAATGACAAGGAGTACTCGTCCTGAAAGAAAACATTTGGAATACAAACAATCCAAAGCTGTTCAGTATTTATATCATTCGATCTATTCGCCGGTTTCTAGAGATGTACCAAATTTAATCTGAATCGGCCCAGCCGTTTCCAAGATCGGGAAACGACCCCTACACGTGCGCACGTGCAGCTGCACCCCAACCGCGGCACATGAAAGTACATACTTACTGACTTGTGCACGGCACCCTACCAACCAGTCTCTAGTGGTATGCCAAATTTGAGCACAGTCGGTCCAGCCGTTCTTGAGATATGGAAACGTCAGCCTGCACGTGCGCACGTGCAAACTGGGTCCCATCTGACTTGTGCACGGCACCCTACTCGCCGAGCCCTAACGATGTGCCAACTTTGATCACAATCGGCCCAGCCGTTCTCGAGATCTGGAAGCGTCACCCTGCCCGTGTGCACGTGCAGCGGCACCCCAACCGTGACACATGGAAATGCATTGCACGGCGGGTGCCTACATCCATGCCAAGTATCAGTGCAATCGGCAAACTAACTACAGAGTTATCAGACTTGTTACCGAAGTGACACCTCTTCGTTTTGCACGTGACACGTGCATTAGGGGTCACCCATACGCATCGAGAGTAGCACACTACGTTTGGGAACGGAAGAAACTATCCCACACAAAGGACCGCGAGTGAATCGGTCCAGTGGTTGCAGAGATATAAGGTTTGTAAAGGCGCCCCCACGGCGGCCGACTGCTAATATTTAGCAATAATCAGTCTTGCATCCGCACACGGGAGGTATCGCCGTCACCTGTTCGTATGCTCATTGTGGTTGGGTTCAAGTCACAGTCGAGCCCTGATTTTTTACAACTTTTCTTCGAAACGGCACATCGTGCAGTGACGTTCTATACATTGTTGGAAAGAGCATCGAAAGTTGTATATTTTATTAACTTTTCACTTTTATATATCACTGACGATTGCTGGAACCGACTTTCCGTCGACTTTGATGGCGCAGTCCACGGCGTCCGCGGCGCTCTTGGAGACGACGAGCAGCTGCGTATTTCACCCGCTACCAGCATCTTGGACTATTTTGCCCAGCACACTACAGCGTCCGTCGCCTGCTGCGTCCGGCCCCAGCTCAGCGTCGTCTGTTTCCATTAACACTCTGAAATGACAAAACAATTAGCAATTAAAATCAAAGTTCAGCACTGACCAAGTTTAACCAAACTTGCCATTTCAACATAACACAGTGAGCTGTCAGAATGCTGTTCTTTTGTGCTTTGACACAGTTGCAAAATAGGTACCTTCATACGTATATCATAGAAGTAATTACCGGTTATTATTATTGGAGGAATTTTTGCAGCATTCTCGTCAAGTAAAATACATTATCTTCTTTAAAAGGACCATAGTTTTGTACATCCTAACATCTTCAAGAAGCAGTGGTGGTATATGCTACTTTGCGCGCAACATCGGTCGCACTTTTAAAATACCAAATAACTGTTTCCCAATGACTTCGTATGAACAGCGTAGGCCCCGGGAAATAAATAACAAGTGTAATATCTATTAAAAAAAAAAACATTGAATATTTTTCGATGGAAATTAATGTACACCAGTAGAAATTCCTTTTTGCTCACTCTCATCCATTGGACATCACTTTTATGCCAATTCATTAACTTTTTTGAAGGTGGGAGGGTCTCTTTAGGCGTTCAGGCTGCTCAATAGTATCTACACGCTTTTGCCAATGTACTGTATGTACATCCCAAGCACCGCGCATCGGTGCGGTGGATCCATCAAGCCCGATCGAGGAAAGGCTGCTAAAGTTGAGAGTCACTGAGCCAAAGTGAGCCTTTATCCATCCCCAGGTCCACTGGTCCGGCTACTCTAAAATCAAACAGCCTTTCCTCCGTCGGAAATCCACCGCACCGATACGGCGGTACTTTTAAAGACTGACTGTACTGTGTGGCACGATCCATCGTCGACAGAGGACAAGACAGGTGACTAATAATGCTTTCCTAGTTGATGATGCTAAATCTATGTGCCATTATCTGTATCGTACTGAGCAATGAGCATCAATAATAGTGGCATAACACTATGTTTTACACTCTGAGATGGGACGCGGCGACGATGGGATGTCACCTACCACACCGCCAGTGTGTGACGCCGCGCACGGTGGCCCGGCGTCGACGGTAACGATCGCGCCGACCAGATCGCCCAGGAGGCGGCCGCGCTCCCCCAGGCGGCGGTCCCGGTTGACGTCGCTACCGCCCACCGTGCGGCCGTCAGATTGGCCCGCGACCGCACCACCGCCGCCTGGCCGGAGGGCTGGTACAGGACCCTGATGGGGAACCGGCTGCCGCCACCGGTCGCGGCGAGGAACAGATCATCGGCCGTCGACGTCCACCAACTCCGCGCGGGCCACTGGTCGGGCTCCCGCCAATACCTCCACCGGGTTGGACGGAACTCTTCCGACGATTGCCGCCAGTGCCCTGACACCGACTGTACGGCGGGCCGGTGCACCGTGTGCCGGGAGGAGGCCGACACGTCCCGGCACCTCTTCTTCCGGTGCCCAGCCCTCATGGGCTGGCGTCTCCGGATTTACGGGACGATTTTCCCGAGCCCGGAAGACGTCCGCGACGACGGAGAGGTGGCGGCCCTGGCGGCCGCCGTGAGGGACCTCCAGAGCCGCACGGCTACACCGCGGTAGCGCGGCGCTGAGCTGACGCCGCTGCTCCACTCTGGTCATGTCGAGGTCAGTGGCCAGCAGCTGGTGGTACGCCGGGTCAGGTCAGGGGACGCGGGCGTATGCCGAGATCACCGAGCTCGGAGGTGGGCAGCGCGGCGCGGAACACGCGACTGGAGGTGACAGTGACACGCCGCGCTGTCATCGAACCCAGTCAGCTGCTGGCGACCACCAGACAGCCCGCTCTGCTGACCTGTCACGTGACGCCGCTCCTGGCAGCCGGCGACATCATCTGGTTCAAGGACGGCCGCCGTCTGCCCGCCGCCGCCAGCCAGCCGGCTCTGCAGCTGACCGGCGGCAACCCGTCCGTGGCCGGCATGTACCAGTGTCACGTGACCGATGACCTCGCCACCACCCAGGTCAGGATCGGAGCGTTGCCGGCTCGGCTGCTGTTGTCGCTGGTTCAGCAGACGGTGCAGCCGGTGGTGGACACTGCGGTCACATTCACCTGTGCGGCCACCGCGTCACCGCCGCCGGCTGTCACCTGGACGAGGGACGGCGTCAGCGCCGACCAGCTGGGCGGCAGGTTCCACGTCCAAGACAGCACCTCTGGAGTTAAGGACGTCACTAGTCAGCTGACGATTCAGCAGGTGTCCCGGGAGTACGGTGGGCTCTACCCGGCCGTGGCCAGTTCACAGCTAACCGCTCCGACGGATCGCCCTCCCGGTTCTGAGCCCCGGCGTCACTGCCTCCCATTGACAGACTTTTCTGGCGGCGGCAGCGGAGATATCATTGCTCCGTCTGCGGCGTGGATGGCCAGCCGGGTGGTAGACTCTGTGGTGCCGGCCGCGCTGTGGGCGCTCACCAACAGCTGGTAGACTGTGACCGGCAGCAGACTGCACAACTCGGCCACGTCCAGGTCGGCCGGGAGCTGGCCCTCGCGCCGCCAGCACGCGCCGCCGGCCAGCCACAGGCAGCTGAGACCGATGGAGGAGGGTGACACGACCCGGCAGGTCAGCTGACGCGGCGCCACCTCCGGCACTCCCTCCTCTGTGGTGGCGGTGACGGGCGAGCTGGCAGGACCCTGGCCGGCTCGGTTACAGGCGCTCATCGGGACTGAGTATGCCGTGTTGGGCCGCAGGTGTTTGAGGAGCAGCACCAGCTCCGGTCGGCGGATAGACCTGGTCAGGGTGGTCTGGTCGGCCAGCCGGACGTAGGTGGCCGTGTATCCGTCCGTGGGTCGGCGACTGCGGCGGCGGCGGGCTGCACGTCAGCCGCAGTGTGCGCGGCCCGGGTACTGGCCGGGCAGGCGCGGCCGCTACTGGTGCAGTGCCTGGCGGTGGGCTGGCCGGCGGCGCGGCCCGTCTGGAGCGCCGACCGGCCGCTCGGCGTCGGCCGTCACTGGGTGCGGCTCGGCTGGAGTCTGCTGGGCTGGAGTACTTTTCTGCTGCCGCCAGAAAAGTCTGTCAATGGGAGGCAGTGACGCCGGGGCTCAGAACCGGGAGGGTGATCCGTCGGAGGGGTTAGCTGTGACCTCCCACCGGGGAAGGTCAGCTATCACTGGGAAGGGTTCGCTGCCACCAGCCACCGGGCAAGGTCATCCCCCACCAGGGAGTGTCAGCTGTCTTTGGGGAGGATCAGATGGCGAGGATCAGCTGTCATTGGAGAGGATTCAGCTGTCAGGAGAAATACCACTTTTATTATGGGGTTTAGAACAGCTGGAATGGCAGCTCTGTAGCTTGAGCAGACACCATGGGCGGCCGAACGAGGAGGGCACCGGGGCACCGTGCCGTGCCCCCCTTTGGCTTTGGCATTTTAACATTAGCCCTATGGGCGTTGCATGGAAAGAATGGGACTTGGACCAAAAGTCGGCAGTGTCCCCCCCCCCCCCTAATTGAAGGTGTTCCGCCGCTACTGGCTGACACCTGACATTAGCGTATATTTTAAGTCTTAGCACCCCAGCAACCACTCTAGCCAAGGATTTATGTTATCAATTTGATCTGAATCTTCTGAATGGAAGGGTTCACAAGGACATAGTCCCCGCTGAGAGGAACATGTTGGCATGCCCTCCACATTCTAAGCACACATACTGGGCTAGGGCAGAATTTGGTCTGAAATCATATGTACGCACAAAACCATGCATAGCCAATCCCTTACTGACAAAGGCTGGCTACAGCCTGCCAGCAGCCATAACCATACCCGTGAGGAGTCTCATAGCAGCACCCGGAGCACGTGCTGCTCCGCTGCCGGGCCCTCGCTGGCTCCCGTCGAGGTATTGGGTTTACGTGGAAATAAAAACTAATTCGGACGCTCAAACATGGGATAGTGTACAAAGCCCCGAAACACTCTGCCTGGTTGATATAGCCTTGATCAGTATATGTGCACATGTGCTTTATATGAAAAGGACTTAATTTTCGCACAAATAGCCACCTAATTTTTGGCGCAAATCACTCAGAAATTTCGGCGCAAAATCGCTTGCGCCGAATTTCGGCGCAAGATGGTCTCACGGGCGTCCGGCGTAGTGTATGGATGTTTTCCAGTCTGGCCCGTGAGGAGTCTCATAAACAAGATATATTAAATATTAATTTTAATTCTGAAATAACTCCCATGTCTGCATGATACAGGAGTGTGGTGAATTGAAAAAATGCAACTAGGTAATGCAGCCACTCGGACAGAATTCAGCCATTCATCATGCTGTTGGTTTTGTAGGTACTCGGAGCACTCAGCAGTGTACCAAAATCATATTTTTGCTTGGGTGTCAGATGGGAAAATTGCTGACCAAAAAAAGGATGAGAGTGAAAATTGTCGGTCAGGTAAGGCCCAAAAAGAGTGGGAAACTGATCAAAAACATTAATCTATCTACAATTGTGACAGATGTAAAACAACCATTCCCGCAATTGCTCCTTCTCGGTGGGATTGGGAGTGGAAAATTGGGCTTGAAAACTGGAGGTGAGAGTGGAAAATGATTTGCAGTTCGATGTCGTTTCCCACCCACATCTACAAATTTTGGGACACTGCGCATCAGTCAATGTACATTATGGTTCAGTCGCAAGCCTTGCTTTAATCAACGAAAAAAATCTAGCATGCATCATGGATTACCAAAATTTTTATTCATATTTTTGTTTTTACCTTTTCTCATTATTTCATGCACACCTTAAAATCATGAAACTGTAGCGAGCAACTGATTTGAAGATAGGAAAGTCCTTGGTACATTTCTCGACATTATCAAAACATCTTTTTCCAAACATACCTATCAACATCCTGGAAATATGACTTAGCAATATATTGAGGTTCCATACCCTTGACAAGGCAAATGCACCAACTTTTAAACCAAAACAACTTTACCAACTTTTAAATAACTTTGTGACTTCCACTCCTACTCCTTTACAAAAAATCATTGTTGTTGCCTCCTGGATCGAAAAGCGAAAGAGCGCCCTCGCCCCTTCCGTGAGACCTGCACAAACTTACCAGGAGTCTGCAGTCAGAACACGACACCGTATTCATATTGAAAAAGGGCATAGCGTATAGAAGAGTAGCGACTAGCGTCTCACTGACCTTAAGCCAAAATATTTCACTTGATGACATCCACGCAAGGCCAATGCAGTGTAGATAGGCATATCAATATAGAAATGATATGTCCAAATATGTCTTTGCCGCGTCATAGTTGTAACGCACTGCGGGGAACTCCAGAGATCTGATTGGCTAATATTAGCCAATCAGTAGCATATGTTACTGGAAACTGTCATAGTGGAAGTAAATTGGTAGCTGTTTCAGCTACCAAACTGATGAAGGAAATAGGTAAAATTGCTTATTTTACACGAACACCTGTCATACGCTAATCAAAGTAGAGCTAATGAAAATGGCATTATCCCACAAAGGAAAGCCAATTTGCCACGTAAACCACCATGAATAGATTTGCTGAGCTTGTCATCACGTGTTTTTAACAAAAACAGTCAATGAAATAATGTAATTTACGAATTTCTAGCACTCACATGCATATTTTCGTCTGCACACCGAATTGCGTCCAGGGTATTGGCCATGGCGTATTTCTCGGGAACCCTCTGTTAGTGGAAATTCCACTATCTGGCAACTAGCCCTATGTAAACGCGGCTAATGAGTGGTGAGGGGGGGGGGGCGTTTCACGCCCCTCCGTCTAACTCGGCTCCTGGGCCACGTAGCGACACACGGTAAGCGGCAATCGAAAGAGCGCCAAAAATAAGAAGGAAAACACTCGGTCATTTTAAGGTCAGGGCAAAGGTCAGGTCACCAGAGCTCATCAAAGGTCAAATTTTGTCGATTTCAACGATTTTAAACATCCGACGGTTAACTCTGGAACCAATAGAGCTACAGCGCCGTGGAAAAGCGCATTCGATAGCTCTTTTAACGCTCTTTCGCGAACATGTCCTCAAATTTGACCTCAGATCAACGGTTTAGCCCCCAGAGGGCACCGCTCTGATTGACCTCAAATTTGACCTCAGATCAACGGTTTAGCCCCTGTGTTTTCACCGCTCTAGCACGTCTCTGTCAAATCAAAAGTTATGGTAAAAAAACTGCTGAAGACCTTTCATGACCTGAGATGACCTCAGGGGCACACAAAGGGGGCACAGGTGCAATTTTCCGATTCAGAGTGTCATGTTTACATATGAACCGATGTTTGAGAGGGTGTAGAACGACATTCGGCCCAAAGAGGCTCATTTCAATTTTCTCCCATTGATTATATGGAGCAGTCGCAAAATTGACCTGACCTTAGTTCACAACTCACAGATATAAAAAAAAAATCCGAGATATCCATTTTATACATAGGTACTGTTACCCTAAGCAAGTACTGAAAGTTTCAAAGTGATCGCTCAGTCGGTGTAGCTACAGCGAGCTTTCTAACTTTTTCTGAGTTAAGGTCACTTGACGTTACATGGTGACCTGACCTTGAATGACCGAAATCTGAAATTTTCATAGCATATGGGAAAAAGATGTCGGAACGGGTGTATCTAAAACAGCGGCGCTACGCGTCGCCGTTTTTGAGTATTCGCGAAAAACCTAGGGGGGCGTAAAAACGCCCCCCTTCCCCCAGGACGGCGCGGATCAAACGGCCCCTGAGACCTTGGGATGGTGCCCCTGAGACTTCGAGATGGTGCCCCCTCAGACCCGGGGAGAGTGCTCCTTCAGACCTCGGATTTCGGAAAAGTGCCCCTGGAAACTTGGAATGGTGCCCCCCGGAGACCTCGGGATGGTGCCCCGGACCCTCGAGATGGTGCCCTCTCCGACCTTGGGATGGTGCCTGCGGAGAACTCGGGATAGTGCCCCCTGAGAACTCGAGATGGTGCCCCCGCGGACCTCGGGATGGAGATAGATGGACAATATTAAACTAAAAACTAAAAAAACTCAACTAAATTTAAAAAAACGAGGCGAGGGACAGAAATGGGCCTCCGGGAGACCCCGAAAACGGTACCCTATTCCGATAGACCTTCTAGATGGTGCCCTCTCAGGAGACCTCTGGGTTAAAGCTCCCGTCGGTGAACTCTTACTTACTTACTTACTTACTTACTTACTGAATTACAGGGAAGGTGATAGGCTAGGAAAAGGAAGCCTGTGGATTTCCTGCTCATTGGCTTGTAGTTTAGTCGGTTCTGGTTTGGTACAGCAAGTTCTTCCAGTGTTTGTCTAGAGCATTTTTGAATCTGTTGACTGTCCTGGCATTCACTACTTCTTCAGGGAGACTGTTCCACTTATTCACAACTCTGTGTGAGAAAGCATTCTGCCTCTGCGCGCGATTTGCCGATGGTTTAATCAGCTTAAGTGAGTGTCCTCTTGTAGTGGTGTCAGGTGGAGCTCTCTGAAAGATCCGGGTGTGGTCGATCCTAATTCCTCCTGTTAGAATCTGATACACCATGATCATGTTCCCTCTTTCTCTTCTGTAGTGCATGCTTGGTAGCTTCAGTTTCTCCAGCCTCTCCTTGTATGCTAGATGCCTGACTGATGCTACCATTTTTGTGGCCCGCCTCTGAACTCTCTCAACCTTGGCTTGGTCACCGCAGTAGACAGGACCCCACACACAGTTTCCATATTCCAGTATCGGTCTAACCATCGCCTTGAAAAGTAGTGGCAGTGTGATTTCGTCTAGGGTCAGGAAAGTGCGTCGTATCAGACCCAAAGTGCGGAAGGCCTTTCCCACTGCTGAAGCCGCCTGTGCATGAAATGTTAGGGAGTCATCAACCAGGATCCCAAGGTCTCTCTCTTCTGATGAGACTTCCAGCTCCCTGTCTCCAACAGTGTACTTGTACTTTACATTTGTGGCTCCAAGGTGCAGTGGAATTTCGTAGTGGAATTGCAAGCTTGGCAATATAAGCTTCCTGCCAGCGCCGGACCTGAGTTTAGACATGCAGGCTGAATTTTAACATTTGACTTTTAAATTTTTACCGCTGAGCTTTTTAGAAGTTGTGTGAACTGTTCAGCTCCTTTTTTGGTCCATCACAGCGTGCTTGTATGTCATTTGTCAATCAAAATCGAATTAAAAACTTTTTATTGGGTCTGGTTATCTCGCCAACTTCTTAACTGAATCGTTTAATAGCTTTTGATTGGGTACTGCCCACGTTGTTTGTCAAACTTTTCGTGTCAACGAAAAGAGGCTGCTGACATCGTTTGTCGCGGTTAGATAATACCAGGTAGGAACGTTTTTCGGCTACTAGTCGTTTATTGTTTTCGTTTCGAATTTTCGACCTTCGCATCGAGGTCGTTGTCAAGAAACATATAACAATGACAATAACATGCATCGTGAACACGTTTGAAAAATAGTACGGTCATCATATCTAAAAACGTGCAAGTAATCCCTCCAGCTATTTCTGACCTGAAACTCTAAACCCAAAATTAATGAGGAAAAAAGTGTATGAATAGATGAACGAATGAATGAATGGCCTTAAAAAAAAAATGGTTTCCCAGCGAAGACGATACACAAATACATAGCACGAAAACGAAGAACACCAGAGCCGAAACTACAAACGACAGAAAACGGAGAGAACGAACAAACGACGGATCACAGAACGACACGAAACGACAGGAAACCTCGAGCAGTCCTACCATACTGCGAGGGACTAACTCACAACCTGAAGCGCCTCCTGGAAAAGAACAACATTGAATGTGCCATTTCTTCAAGAAGCCAAACACTTAGGAGCAAATTATCAACAGTCAAAGACAAACATCTACCGGAAGAGAAGCCCTGTGTATACGAAATCCCCTGTCACTGTGGCAAAATCTACATCGGACAAACACGACGGAAGCTGCAAACAAGAATAAAAGAACATCAAAGAGACGTCAAAAACTGCAATCACAACGGAAGCGCCTTCGTAGATCACCTTTTTGAACCAGGAGAACACGCACCGCTTTGGAACAAAACGACAGTCCTCGAAAACGAAAACAATCTAACGAAACGACTCACGAAAGAAGCGCTACAAATACACGTCAAGAAAAACGACACGATCAACCGAGTAGACGGCACCGCATTCAGTCCTTTATGGGATCAGTGCTGGTAGGGCAACGAGATCCGACGATCAAGCAATCAAAGATTTTAAGCATGTATTTTTAATGTGTCACAGCCGGTTTGTGTGTCTCATGTACTGCATTCATTTATTCATTCATTCATTCATTCATTCATTCATTCATTCATTCATTCATTTATTCATTCTTTCCTTCAGTCAGTCAGTCAGTCAGTCCGTCAGTTAGCCATTCATTCATTCGTTCATCTATTCATACACTTTTTTCCTCATTAATTTTGGGTTCAGAGTTTCAGGTCAGAAATAGCTGGAGGGATTACTTGCACGTTTTTAGATATGATGACCGTACTATTTTTCAAACGTGTTCACGATGCATGTTATTGTCATTGTTATATGTTTCTTGACAACAACCTCGATGCAAAGGTCGAAAATTCGAAACGAAAACAATAAACGACTAGTAGCCGAAAAACGTTCCTACCTTGTAATGTCTAGTCGTAAAAGCTTAAAATCATATATTAGATAATACCAATCCACGTCTCAGTGTGGCTGCTCGATCGCACTTTCCCTGGCCCACCTCTCCCACCAGGCTAGGCTTTGCCCGGCACAGCCGTCGCCTCAGTGCCTCGGGCGGTGACCCGTTCAAAGGGGCTCACAATTCGTATGGTGCCGTGGCTCTCAAACCAACACAGAACAGTGAAACGCACAGGCTTACCTTCCATATAAGGCGAACGGCTGATTCTGGCGCCGGGGCTTCATTCATGCTAAAGCGCCCAATCACAGCGCCGCATTTCAGTAAGTGTCGGGCGCAAAAGCTACTATGCTCCGCCCCTCCATCACGTGACCCTGCCCTCACGTGGCCTCAGTCACGTGGTGTTTCCACTTCTTGGCGCATGGCGGCGCTAGTCTCGCAAGGGCGGTGGTAGCTTGCTCCCCCGCCGTCCGGGGGTGATGGGTAGCAAGTGCTGGTGACTGTAGGGGAGAGTGGGGCACATTCGTGCAAAAAATGGTTAAATTCATATATCTGTTCTTTGGTTAGTGCAACGGCAAAATTGTTGATTGTGGTATGGAAAGGAACTATTGCAGATATTTTTCCTCTTTAAAAGTTATCCTCTAAAATTATTGCTTCTATTAGAAAAAATGACTTTTAATAACTCTGAACGTTTGCACGAAACTGCCCCACCTATGGGGCACATTCGTGCAAGGGGTGGGGCACTTCCGTGCACCCTGCAAAGTTCTAGAAATTACCGGGCATTACCAGAAATTTACCAAAGGAAATTGGCAGGGGGTCATTTCACTTGATTCCTTTCGACAAGAATGCATTGCACAACATATGTAGAAAGAATGGGCTGGCCAACAAGAATGTGCCAACTGCCGGCCTCCGTGACCTCGCCAAGTTCGCGTGAATTACTCGTCACGACGTCGCAAGCAGCCGAGACTGAGTCAGGCGAGCGTCATTAGTGAAACCTACTATAGATAAAGTCATAAATAGCAAAAACTAAAAAAATATGCACGAATGTGCCCCCAGGCAGT